CATAAAATGCGCTGCACACCTGAATATTTGGGTTGAACTCTTCCGGAACAGTGTTGTAAATACAACTTAACCACTGATTTCTAGTCGTGTCCTCTTTTGGAAGACCAAACAAAGTAGTTTCGCGTGTTAGAACGAGCCATTTTAGGTGGCTGACTCTTAACTTTTATAAAGAATATCTCTTTGGATTTGAGACTTTAGTCTTTGCAACTTTACAGATCTTCTTTATGCACCAAGAGCTTGTAACACTCCAAAGAGAAAGGAAAAATTGAAATCGCATCATATGACCCCTTTTTTAAAAGACAGAATCCACAGTCTCCATCTAATGAAGATGGACAAATACTGTGAGTCCTGTGTGGAGGTGATGGCAACCTCTTATTATCCATTCTTGTTCGACCATTTTAGAGAGAATGTACTTTCAAAGATAATTGTTTTGAATGACGTAAAAACAGCCCGTTGCTTTGTGGTTAACACTGCAATGTATTGATTGTTACGCAATCAGAAAGGCCATAGTGCACATCCTCTCTAGAGAATGAAAGCGGCAGCGGTGATTGAGGCTGTCCTGTACATGCTAACCCTCAATGTCAGGCTGGAGGATGGTTACGTTCTGAACCAGGACACCAGGGTGGTCACGTGTCGTGCTAAATCACCCGAGGCTTTCAACTGTGGCACAAAAATCTTCAATAGAACTTATTTCATCTGTCATTTTCTTCTCTATACAGAGGAGCAGGTCAAACTGCTTTTCAAGGCCTCGGTCAATGGCCATTATTTCCTTGATGGAAAAAACATACTAGTTATCAGGTCAGATTATTATTCACTAAGTTACCCCCGCCTCATACATAGAACAGATGTGCCACAAATCCACAACTGTAGCTTATGAATCTTAAAATAAAATATGGAAATTACTAGTTTCACATTTCATCACTGGTTACCAGACGTCAATAGATGGAATAGTTATTTTTCTGGATGGGGTAGATATCAAATTATGGGCTGTTTTATGAAACATGACTGAATCATCCGAATGATTCACCACAGTGATTTCAGCATCTAATAGAATAGGTTACATATTACTGTAAGGCTGAAGTCATATCATCTAAAACCACAAAAGATATGACGTTAAAGTTAAATATTAATGCTTAGGTTGAAGGCAGAGTCCTATGTGGTGTCTGTGAGCATGAAAAAAATAATTCAAACCTAAGATAACCTGAACAAGAAACAAAAAAGTAGAGAAGAAATTAACAGAAAAAAGCAAAATGAAGCAAAGCCACATCTAAATGAAACAATAAAAAAAATAATAAACCACAAGACAAAAAAAAAAAAAAAAAAAAAAAAAAGTTAAACAAAAAAGCACAAAGCCACAATGCAATACAACAAATCAAAACAATACAATTTTTTTTAAATTATTTTATTTCAACAGAAAAGGCTACAAAACAGAAAGGTTGGTTTATGAATTGCAGGATATGCAAATCATACAAATTCTAATTGTGTATGCATACACTGTGAATATTTTAAAATCCTGAACATTTTTAGCTATCACAATAATGGTGATTCAGAACATTTCAACAGTGCCTTTAACAGGAGCTTGCTTGAGAAGCTGCTGGATACTACACGACTTTCCCATGAACAACAGTGAAACTAGTCCCCAGGGGCGCATGGGCTTGACCCTGCAGCTGAAGAACGTTCTGTAGCAGGATATGGATTATGACAGACGGGCTACTGCATATAATAGTTTGTGCGAGAGAACACTAGTGTGTATTTGTGTTCATTTTGCAGAAGGTCTGTTTTCAGGGTAAGCTCTCTATCCCCGAGTCTTGCTTGTCAGATTAAAACATCTCCTGTAATCAGACCTAAATCATCCAGGAAGTCACTCAGGAAGTCTCAAAAGCCCCAGATTCACACAAATCTACATGGTAATGCTGAAAGAATGCTGCAGTGAAACTGCTGGTCTTAAGGGCCCTCTTGAATGGAATGATATCTATTATGTTTAGTGTGTTTGATTGGCTTCCATAAAAAGGCTGGAAAGGGGAAAAAACAGTAACTAATAGATGATGCCATGCTGGGACCAATCTTCATAATGATGAGAAAGGCACTAATGTGTAATTATTCATTTTTAAAGCTAGCAAGTTAAAGCTATAGTATAATATCATATTGAAATAGGCTTTGTTTCTCATTTGTGAGGTTTCAGATATAGTCCCTGCCTTTGAAAAATGTGTGGCTTTTCTATAAAAGGAAAAATTGAGTTTGAATCAGATCAGATGAAAATGCAAATAGTTAAAATCTGTTTTTATTCCCCTAAACTATTAACAAAACAAACAAAAAAAACAATAGCAAGGACAGGACATTTTCTTTTCAAAGCAACCCAATGACACCAAAATATAAGCATGCATTTTGCTTTGTACTCGAGAGAAAATTATTAATTTAAATTCTCATTTTGTTGATAAAACTAGCACTTATCTGCAATATTTGCAAGCAGTAATTACCATGCGAGTCTGAAACGAAGACGCATTCAATCAAAAACAAGCAACAATGCTGGCACGTCGAGAACAATAGATTAAAAAGCATCCATCAATAATCCCAGTGATACATTCACACACAATTTGCACATGCTGACCTCTCCGGCACATGTCTGGAGCATTAATCAGCTAAAGTGTGTGATTTGTGATTAAAGGGCCATTTCCATAGCATGCAAAAGAATGAGCGGGATACGTTCATTAATGGTGACAGCCACTGAGAGCATTTGTTCACACACTGACTTTAAAAGACCACAGACAATATCCTGCAAGGAAAAAACTGTCCCTTGAGGGGGAAAGAAAAAGTTAGTTTCACTGGAAACCTGTTGTCTGCACATTTATCGCTTTTAAGGACAGATGTTATTCGCACTCGGTTTAAACTACTTAAACAGAATTGAATGAGGAAGACAAAAGCGACTGGTGTGCTTTGGTTTAAAATCACTCTTTTGCTCAGGCATGATTTATACCAGGTTAAAAAAAAAGTGATCGGGATTGTATGATTAGCTTTGGATTTGCATACATATTAAGAACCAGGAATAGTCCATCCAGAGCATTGCTACTCTTGAAAGAAAAATTTGGTATGAGAACACAGAGCAGCTTCCTCTGACAGTGTGTGTGTGCGTGGCAAATTGATAGAGCTGTACTCACCTTTCAGGCTGGTCAGAGAAAAGGTCACAACTTCACACGTCTTCACAGTACTGACAGAGCTAAAGTTTACACAGATATATCAAGCAGGATTTATGATGGTTTATTGAAGAATTGGTATACAGCTCGGTATAGGCCCAACAGAAGCACATCCACTGAAATAGACCGACTGGACCAAATACCACAGTAATACATGTTGTCAAGAGGTCTTTTATCGGAGGCCACTGACACAGTTGAATATGTATTATACATGTTTTTAAAATACAAATATACTTTTTCACACACTATCTGAGAATATAGATATTAGACAAATAAATACACATCTTTATAAGGCTGAAAACATGTTCATATATATTGACAATTCAGCAATGTTGTTTAAATGATCACACATGAAAGAATTAAAAAGTCTGCCTATAAAATCTCCACAAATTACAGGCTCAGTTTATAACTATCAGAGGATCAAAAGGCCACTAGCACAATCTCGGAATTAAATATATGTACAATAAATACAAAAAAAAAAATCTCCAAACTAACACTCACACGAGATTTGCATACACGTGACAGACATGCGCACACATAGAAACAGACCCACACAGACCATAACACTAATGCCTACCCACTTTCACACTCTCTAGTCTTATATAAAGATTTACAGTTAAATATACAACAAAATAAAATTACATAAATACTTTCGCTGTGAAATTGCCATTTTTACAGTAGACAGCCCCATACAAAATACCAAAATCAGTAGCTACAATAGGAAAATGTGACAATACAAGAACTATTGACTATGGACACCCTCTGGCAGAGACGTGGTGACAACAGCATTCTAGTGGCCTGATTGTGTCTTTTGTTCAAACACAGCAGTTTATTTACATTTCTTTATTGTAACACCAAGGTTGTCCTCAAGTATAATATAAAATACTAATATAGTATGTTCTTCAACAAGACCATCATACTCTGTGAGATGGATTTCCATGTAAACAATATCAATGTGTGTTTGTGCAAGTTGTTGTACCGATAAAACCAATAATGTGACACGACGACATCCTGACAACCACAGTCACTTTACAATACTATTAATATTTTCGTTATTTGGCCATTTAATGTGAGCTATTAAAAAAAAATTCTTAATCAGATTGTTTAATCTTGGTTTTCAGTTAAAATATCTGAGCATTCTAAAAAAAAAGATACATTTACTTGAGAAGAAAAATAAACATTTTTTACGCATAATTTGCGTAAAAAAAAACATTAAGGTATGTATTCAGAGAATATATATTTAATTTATACACTACTGTTCATCAGTTTGGGGTCAGTAAGCTTTTATAAGATTACTTATGCTCATCAAGGCTGCATTTATTTGATAAAAAAAAAAGAGTACAAAAAGAAAGTAAAAAAGTAAAAAATAAATATTGTGAAATATTATTACAGTTTAAAATTTGTTTTTTATTTTAATATATTTTAAAATGTAATTTATTCCTGTTACGTCTGGGTTTTAAAAGCTGAATTTTCAAGCAGTCATTACTCCAGTCTTTAGTGTCTCATGATCCTTCAGAAATCATTCTAAAAGCTGATTTGGAGCTCAAGAAACATTTCTTATTATTATCAATGTTGAAAACAAGTGTGCTGTTTAATATTTTGTGAAAACCATAATACATGTTTTTTTTCAGGATTTGATGAATAGAAAGTTCAGAAGAACTTTATTTTATTTGAAATAGAAATCATTTGTAACAGTGTATAAGTCTTTACTATCACTTTTGATCAATTTAATGCACCCTTGCATTCATGTTTATTATTATGATTATTTTTCTTACACTATTGCTAAAATCTTACAATTTTTCCATTTATTTATTTAGTCCAAAGATATACTGTCTGAAAATAATTCTTATGCTTCAAGTAAATTTATCTTGTTTTAAGAATGTTTAAATATTTGCACTGGAAAAAGAGACAAAAACACTAATTAAGAAAATGCTTTATTGCAGTGCGAGCACTGCTGCAGTCAGCTATTGCCACAAGTGAGAGACAGGCACAAGAAGAACCAACGATAGTTGTAAATATGCTTCTGCAGTGTAGCAGAGAGCTGCGAGTTGTGGCGTGACCCAGCGGAGGAGTGGGCGGAGTTCAGGAGCAGTGGCCATCGCTGTCAGACTCTGTTCTGGCTGAGCGGCTGAACAGAGACAGGGGCGACAAGAGTTCAGGCCAGGTCGCCACACTGGCACAAAAGGTTAATGTACAGTTTGCAAGTCCGTCTGGCCACAAGTGGGCCACAGACAGTCGCCCAGAGAGCAGGCAAATGCCTGCAATATTAAAACAGAGGGATTATTGTAGGAGTCAGCACAGCCACCTGTCCGAGCAGCAGGATACTCACCCTCCCTCTTCCTCTGTATTGCTTAGGCGTGAGGAAATTTGATGTTTTCTCTGAGGATCTTATCAGATATCCTCTTTGTTCCTGATGGGTGAAGCGAGGAATCCTTTGTACGATGCTAAATAAATCCAGAAGCTCCCGACGTACATCTTCAAATCATGGATGAAACTGAATTTAGAAACTGAATTCTCCTTTGCTCCTGTTGCCGAAACAAAGCACCAGGACTCAGAGTTTGTGCGTCGTTGTGTCAAATCCATGCGGAGGGCACTCCACTAAGGAGTTTTTATCAGCTCAGGTGGGATTAGTCTTATTTTATGTTGTGATATCAGCAGAAGGAGTAAAGATGCTGTGGGGTTGAGGGAAGAAAGAAATTGTGAATCAAAGAGAGCTTCACACAGCAGTCACGCTTCAATGAGCGCCCACATAAATATCTATTTCATTATGAAAATCATCAGAGAAAATTACAAACGTTTTCCCAAGGAATCACACGCAGGCCGCGGCCGGCATCTATCTCATCAGGCAAACATTATTTGGCAAATGGGAAGTTGGGGCATGTCTGGGCACTCTTATTTGCGGATCACTGGGCCCAGCAGAGGAGCCCTTCAGTTGCACATTTGTATTCAGATTTGCACGGTGTGATGGGAGATGAGGCGGTGGGAGGCCCAAGCTCTATTAATAATTCTTCAGCCTTTTTTACAGTCCTTATTATGAATGAACCAAAGCTGGAGGAGGGGTACCCTCCCATTTAATGGTGAGGTTCGATGGATGTCGAGCCACTAGTACTGTCCCTAAACACGTTTTCCCTATTTGGTGGGATAAAGCCGCTAAGCCATTCAAGGAGGGTTGCAAACCAATATCGTGGGGGTTGAGGTCTTACTGGGTTCTGAATTCAAATTTTACTGGGTTATGAATTCAGTGATGCTGAGATTGAATTATTATGGAATACTTTACAGCACAATGGTAATGTAGTGAGAATATTAGAAGTGTGCTCATTTAAAATTTAGATTTAACTCAAATTTAAAACATGGTCATGCCCTATCCACACACAAAATCAGTTTATTATGCATTAGAGACAAAACAAAAAAAAGCCTAAGGGCTGTTCAACACAGGATATATTGTGCCTTTAAAAATACAGAAAAAACAGGGGAACTTTTCAAAAATTTTAATTACAGAAATTAGGAGTGGCAGTATATTTAAATAATTACATTAATGATAAGTAATTAAAATAATTACATAATTTCAAACACTAAATGCTCTTCATGGTTTCCATTTTATTACCAATGAATTTATATTAAAATTTTAATTTTAGTAATTTCCATGACTTCCAGGTCTAGAAATCACACTTTTAAAATTTCTTGGTCGTTAAATAAAAATGGCCATAGTTAAGGGAACAAATTAAATTAAGAAATATATTTCAGATCTTTTTCTTGTTAGCTTTTTTTTTTTTTAAACTAATTCTAAAATTGTAAGCCTTAAGCCATTTAAGCCATCTTGCCGGCCCCCTAGTGGGTCGCTGGTGGGTCGCTCCCTGGTTGAGAACCACTCGTCTAGAGTGTGTTTACGTAAAAAAAAATTTAAAATACCCTGAAATTGGGTTTTGGGCCCACAACTGAAGCTTACCTGGGCTCTGTCCACCGAGAGATCATTCCCATCTGTCCTTTTTCCATCCCTCCTATGTTTCTCTTGGGTCAGGGAGTGGTGTCGCCACGGTGCATGGACCCCCGTGCCCACATGGCATTGCCTGGACCCCCTCCACCCCCGTGGTCCTTGTCCGACTCGGGCTGGCTCTGAGCTCGCTCTGGTTTAGGGTTGGGTGTCATGGGTGGCTCAGGCTGTTGCACCGACATGGTGCGGCGAAGGTGTGTCCGCTTACACAGGAAGTCTGGTTTGGCTGATAGACCAAATGAGCCCTTTCGAAGAACCATTCGCACAGAAGAGCTCTTCTTGGGCCGGGCTCTGCGACTGAACTGCAGGGAGGAGAGATGTACTGCATAGCCCTCACTCAGGAACTGTGATAGATCACAAGACAGAAATATATTAGAGAAAACTAGATCAATTTTGACCATTTATGGTGGAAATTGAATAAAAGACAAAGAAGAATCAAAGTTAGTTAACCTGGCATTGATTCTGGTACTTCTTGGAGGGCCGTCCCACTATATATATCTGGTTGGGGTTGAGGCCCAGCATGCTGTAGACGGAAATGTCCTTCATGGAGCCATAGGCACAGTTGATTTTAATGTGACACTGCCAACATGAGAAAAGGGCAAAGTGTGATAGACGGCCTGAGGATACACTACAAAAACACCTCAGTTCCTGTGTGACTACTCATGCGTGAGACAGAGGAAGCAAGCGTGAGAGAGATGGACCAAGAGAAGAATAAAGGAATAAAGTGATGTGTTTCTTACTCTTCATTCCTGCTATGTGGTATATTTGTATATTTGTCTTCATCATATATTTGTAATGTACACTGCCATTCAAAAGTTTGGGTTCAGTAAGATTTATGTTTTTAAAAGAAGTCTCTTATGCTCACCACAGCTGCATAATTTGATCCTTTTATTCCTGTAATGGCAAAGCTGGATTTTCAGCAGTCATTATTCCAGTCTTCAGGGCCACAAAAATTATTTTAATATATTGATTTGGTGCTCCAAAAATCATTCTTTTTATCAAAATAAAAAAACAGTTGCGGTGCTTAATATTTTTTTGAAAACAGTGAAATGCCCCCCCCCCAGAATCAGTAGACAGTTCAAAAGAACAGTATTTCTTTGAAATAGAAATCTTTTGTAACAAATTTCTTGACTGTCACTTTTGATCAATGTAATGCATCCTTTCTGAATAAAAAGTATTTTTAATTTAATGCATCCCAATTTAATCCATCCTTGCCTCAGTGCCTCAAATTAATCCATCTTTTCTGAATTTTCCAAACTTTTTAACAGAAGTGTATATTTCTATATATTGTATAAAACACTTTATCTTACTAAGTACAGAAATCTTATTAGCTAGTTTATCTCAATTAACTTAACATAAAAGTGAATTTTAAATAATTTTGCTGGTTGTAATGGATGTTTCCATTTTTGCCATATTTTCAGGAGCTTCTGGCATGAAAATCTATCTGGCAATTTACAAAATTTGAGTGCGTTTCTTCATTTTTTTTTCTCTTAAAGTATTTCAAACAAAACATGTTCTATTTGCTGAGGAAAATTTTTAAATTACCGGTAGTAATCAATATAAAGAAGATTTCTTCAATTTCACTTTCCATTATGTTAATAATTAGTAAAATTCTTTTAACTAACAAAAGACAGTTCCTCAATGACATCATCCTCCAGCAAGTGACATCATTTTTGGTGGGAAGCCAACAGCAAGAACACCAGCAATATTAGCTATTGATCTGAAGAAATTTGTGATGCTTTGTGGTATTCATTTATCTCACTCTACCTCTTATTTTTTTTGATAAAATTACAAAACCTATACAATGTCATAACATTTGAATTGTTAATTAAACAATTACAAAATGACACCCTCATGAAAGCTAAATATCATTGAGCATTGGTTAAATACAGCTTTTGACTTCCATCCTGTTCAACTTCAAATGTGTACATAAGAAGTTATGACTCCTAAATTGCCTGAACTTGACCAGAGCATATTTCTGAATGTCTAGTGTATCCTTTTATAGAAATACTTAAACTACAACACAGGCATATTCCTATTTTACAGTTACAGAGTTCAAAAGGTACTGCAGTACAGGAATGACCCATATACTAAATTTGTGGACACAGTAGCAGAACACTTACTTCTTGCACCAAGTTCCTGAGGAAGATGGTTTTCTGGCGAAGAGGGTCGTGCACCAACCCCTCAGAGAAAAAGATCATCCCCTGGGGGAAGTTGTGCTGAGAGAGCCAGGACACAACCCTCTGCTTCTGCATGTCTGGACGGCCAGTGATGTAAATGATCAGGTAGCCCAGGTCCTGCCAGTGTCTGCATGCAAAATACAACCATTTACCCTCTGAGCAAACCCATAATTCTTGGAGAAAACAGTTGGGGACTGATTCCCGGATAGTCATGGCGCCTGGTCCTCCAACAACAGATTGCATTTGACAAAGCAGTAAATTTGCCCAAGGACAGTCTGGGAAACAACCCAAGGTTGTCCATTTGTAAATCCCAAACCCCATCTGATATCTGGTATCAGCACTTCGCTATCTCTCTATTAAATGAAATCCAACTGTGCCTCACTGTCAGGCCAGTTCTTTTCAATATTGCTATGGCATGAAATGAAAGCATCGATCCTCTCTCACACACATTTACACACAAAGCCTCCCCGTGAATTTGTTACCTGACCACATCCACAGCGCCGGGCCGTACTTTAGGGTCGCTGCCCATAATGGAGACGCTAGCGGCAAATGAACCGTCAATGCTAAAGACGACACACTCCATCCCCCGAGGCAAGACCGTCAGGAAGGCCTCTGCGCTTGTCTGGTCACCCCTGCAAGGAAAGAGTGACTTGAAGTAAGGGGAGAACACAGATCCGGCTCTTGATCAAGCTCAAGATATGGCATGAGGCCCGCAATCAATTTAACAGCGAGGAGTCCTTCTCCTTCAGCCCTCAGGGTGAGAGTTTTATGAGTGCCAAATTGAATGCTCTTTGGTATCCTCGCAAATTATCTCCCGCTGAGACAACCTTGAGAGCACAGCCATTTTGGATACATTACAAGTAATCTTCAGGGTCCCATTGACTTACTTGACAACCATTTTGATGGGGTAGACCCCCACAGCCAGTTTTTTGCTTTTGGGGATGGTGTAGGTCACTCTGCCACTGCTGTTGGTCATCTCGGTGTCTAAGTGCTCCCAGCGACCTGACTGTGGCTGGGTCATCACGTACACATCGACCTAAGAGACAAAACAACACAGAAACAGACAGTGGGGGGAGCGAGTGAGATGGAGGGAGATTACTGAGGCATACTAGGGTTGTCACGACCCCAAAATGTCAGTAGTCGATACCAGTACCAGTGGCACTGCTCTATATCAATTTCAAAACCACAGCAAGCACTATTTTGCTATTCAATCCTTTATTTGAAGCATTAAATAAATTAAATTAATATGCAAATTGAACAATAGTGACAGTACAGACATTTATAATGCCACTAAAGATTTCAATTTCAAATAAATGTTGCTCTTTTGAACTTTACTTTCATCAAAGAAACGGTTTTAAACATTGATAATAATCAGAAATATTTCTTGAGCACCAAATCCGCAAATTAGAATGATTTCTGAAGGATCATGCGACACTGAAGACTATAGTAATGGCTGCTAAAAAATTCAGCTTTGCCATCACAGGAATAAATTAGATTTTAAAATGTATTAAAATAACATAAATAAACAGTTTCTTTACATTGAAATAATATTTCATAATATTGCTGTTTTAATGTATTTATGATCAAACAAATGCAGCCTTGGTAAGCGTGAGAGACTTTTTTTCAAAAACATTTAAAAAAATCTAACCAACCCCAAAACTTTTGAAATGTAGAGTAAATATGTTTAATAAGAATAAATATTATGTTTAACTTTATATTATTAATATTGTATAAGGTTGTACATTATTAATTAATATTGTATATGTCAATAACATTAACTTTTAAATAATAAATAAATAAAATAATCCAAAAACAGTCAGTTATTTTTTCTTTTAAATATTGTTATTTTGATTAATATTAATAACATAAATAGATATTTTAATAACAATTTTAGCTATCTTTTCCCACCTCTTAAAAGTATAACTTGAAAATGTTTATATTAGTACTTCACCAAGATGGCCAATATATTAGTTATTGGCATCAGAATGTAAATAATTAATATATTGATGCATTCGTAATTATAACTAATATGTGCAGCCACATATTACCAAAAGCTGCAAATGCTATTCAGAAAGAAGTGGGCACTGATACTGTAAAAGATACTGGTAAGGTTTCATTTGCAGCCGAAATACCAGTATTTTTCACATCTCTGAGTAGTTCATTGTGAAAAAAAACAACCCTGTAACAATTCCACTGACAAACAGCAAACAGCTTGTTTAAATGCATATTCAGCGATAGTGGACCACTGCTCTCTCACCTTTTCCCCAGTGAGGGTCACCATATCCAGCGGTCCGTACATGAAACGACCAACCAGGGTCTGATGCCCGTCCTCGGTTGCGATGACATCATTGACTCTGTGGTTGGCGGTGACATTCTGCAGACAGAAAAAAGGAGATGTCAGGTTGTCTGTGCTTTTCTATCATTTTCCTGCCACAATAGAGTCTGGTGTGAAAAATAAGGCAGAGGATGAGTGTAAATGATACTGCTATGCACCATTTCAGACAGATGGAAAAAGAGAAATGGGCAGTTTCATAAGTATGCAGTACAAAGTCCTTCCAAAAGAGGGTGTCACACTCTAATCCTTCTATTTTCAATAAATTTCATTTCAGTAATAAAGCTGTTCTACACAGAGCTCAGTGAAGATAAATCCTATAGCCCCTGCTGAGGCAGCTGTGCTTAAATGGGAAATTAAAGCCAGCAAAACACTGAGCTATACAAATCCTGAAAATAACTGGCCACAGTCACCTTCATGCCAGCAGAGGAAGTAGACAAACAGAGAGGAAGATAAATGCAAGAAGCTTGTACTTAGAGCAAAGGCAAGACTATGAGACAGTGTCTGAATTCACAAAAGTGTCTTCAGATAAGCCCGACTCAAAACATCCCTCTCACATACCAGCTACTATAGTGACGAAATGCAACAGGATACTGAGGCTTAAATTAAACTGGGGTCTAAAAAGAAAAAAACTGCAAACAGTACTAGATCTTCACATTTTCTGAACAAAGTTTGAATGGTGATTGCCCAAGGCTTTATATGCCACAGCAAAGGATTTCTGAGTGGTTGTTAGCATGTTGCTATGCGGTTGCTAGGGTGTTTGAAGTGGTTGCTAGATGGTTATTTATAGGGCTGCATGATTTGCTGAGCTTGTTTGTGAGGCTGCATAATTTGGCAAAAATGTTGTGATTATATATTATGACTAAAAAATATTAGCATTGTTATTATGATTATTACTATTACTAAATAAAAATATGATATATTACTGATATTTCACAGTAGCAAAAACAAACAAAAAAATTATTTCTTCTGATAATCTGTATTATTTGGATTTATGTCACAATACAGAAGAAAACATCTGCTCCGACTGGATTCGTCTGAAAGAAGAAAGTCATATACACCTAGGATGCCTCGGGGGTGAGTAAAACACAGCCTAATTTTCATTTTTGGGTGAACTAACCCTTTAAGTTTGCATGTCATGTAACTGAACAGTCGCTGACACTCACGTCGCCAGAAATCACCAACTCTCATTGGAAATGAATAACTTCAGGTCATTTTGGTATGGTAGTGTTTACGTCACTTTAAAGGTGACATATCATGAAAATCTGACTTTTCCAGGT